TATATATATATATATATATATATATATATAAACAAATAAATAAATGTATATGTGCACATATATGTACATACATATGTATATGTACATACATATATATGTACATACGTATATATATGTACATACGTATATATATGTATGTACATACATATATATGTATATATATATGTACATATATATGCACATGTATATATATACGTATTATGTTTATATATAACCCTCTAACTAAAGAGCGATAATAAACCCTAATAAACAAATAAAGCATAGGAGGCCCTGCTGCTGCTGCTGCTGCTGCTGCTGCTCTTTAGCAGCAGCAGCAGCAGCAGCAGCAAATTATGCGAATATACATTGTTTTCCTTGTACATATAATTCATGTTTTGCTGCTCTCCCTATACAAGAAGACAATGCTGCTGCTGTTCCTCCCTCTGCATATATTTCTTTTATGAATTGTGTGCTACTAACTTGTATGGGGGGCCCCCCTTTGGGGGCCCCTCCTATATGGGGGGCCCCCTGGGGCCCCCCCCCTTCTTGCTGTATATATGTAGACCCATGGAGGGTACAGTCCTGAGGGTACAAAGGAGCAAATCTATTAATTGCCTCATTAAGAGGTAAACTTTCATCAAAGATTAACTCCCACTGTCCTTTTGTTCCTGCTGCTGCTGCTGCTGCTGCTGCATCTGCTGCTGCATCTGCTGCTGCATCTGCTGCAGTAGGTGCAGCAGGAGCAGAAGACGAGCCTGTGTTATCCCTATTCATAGAAAAGTTTCCATCTGTTGTATAAGGGGCCCCCCTTGGGGCCCCCCCACCTCTAATACAATAAGTAGGATACTGTTTCTGCTGCTGTTTGTGCTGCTGTTGCTGCTGCTGTTTGTGCTGCTGTTGCTGCTGATCTTGTTGCTGCAGCACAAGATCAAGTAATTGTTCCGTCATATCTGTAAGTAATGCATGCATCCATGGCTGCCTACTACTGCATGCAGGACTAAGATTAACCTCAATTAGCCAAGGATTATATAATTTATCTATAAGTATATCTAAGCCAAATAGCTCAAAGCTGCTGCTGTGCTGCTGCACATGCGGTCTTGCTGCTCTTGTTGCATGCAGTACTAATAATCTTAATTTAGGTAATAATATATTATTATAATAATCTTTTTTATTTGTGCATGCATATAAATATTCTATTAAATATTCTAATGGTAATACTCCTTCTTTTATATATTCTTCTTCTTCTTCTTTTTCTTCCTCCTCCTCCTCCTCTTCCTCCTCCTCCTCTTCCTCCTCTTCCTTCTCCTCTTTTTTTTTTTCTTTTTTTTTTCTTTCCTTAACAACCCCACCAGTAGTAACACACTTATTATTCTCTTCATCTTTTTCTTTATTTACACTACCTGCTGCTGTTGCACCTGCTGCTGCACCTGCTGCTGCTGTTGCTGCTGCTGCACCTGCTGCTGCTGCTGTTGCTGCTGCTGCTGTTGTTGTTGTTGTATGTTGCTGTTGGATTTTTCTTGTATTTTGTTTTCTTTGTTGATTATCTTTACAAGAAATAATTGTTTTCCTTTCCTGTTGCTGCATGTCCCTCTCCCTCTCCCTCTGTTGTTGTTGTTGCTGCTGCTGCTGCTGCTGCTGCTGCTGCTGTTGTTGTTGTGCATGTTGTTGTTTCTGCTGCAATCTATTCAGACTCCAATTACATATATGCCTATAAGGATTATTTATATCTTGTATAAGATATTGTTTATTACAAACCCTTAGATAGGGTTTATTATATATATAAACCCTTAAGGGTATAAAAGATAATATTAATACCCATAGTCTTATATCAAACTTTTTCTTCTTTTTCTTCTTTTTTATTAATAAAGGGGATTCTATGTATCTTTGCACTACACGACCACGTAAGCCACGACCTGCAGCAGTAAGTGCAGCAGCAACACCAATACAAATACAAACATAAACATAAACAGAAGGAGGAGGAGGAGGAGGAACAGGATGAGGGGGACACACGACAAGGAAACGAGGAAGAGGAACATATATTATATAGAGAAACAGATATAAATATACATTTATAGATATCCATATTGTTATATTACTCACTTTTTAGGGTTTAGGGTTTAGGGTTTAGGGTTTAGGGTTTAGGGTTTAGGGTTTACCAGATCTTAATATTTCTAATGGAGAAGAGAAGAGTTTAACACCTGATGCTCGTGAGTTGCTGCAGGGTTTAACTATCCATATATTCCTACTAGGCCATACATCTTGCTGCTGCTGCTGCTGCTGCTGCTGCTGCTGCTGCTGCTGATTGGAGACACCTAGGAGACACTTAATTTCTTCTGTGTCTCCTATGTCTACATGCCATAAACCCCAACTAGATCTTATTTGCTGCAGCAATTGCTGCACTATTTCTCTTGCTGGTCCTTCTCCTGTCTCCCTTAGCTGCCTCTGCTGCTGCTGCTGCTGCTGCTGCTGCTGCTGCTGCTGCTGCTGCTGCTGCTGCTGCTGCTGCTGCTGCTGCCATAATTTATAGAATGCTGTAGGCTGCTGGCGCATGCGCCAAGCAACAGCAGCAAATGCCTCTATATGATAAGGAGAAAGTATTTCCTTATATTTATTTATATATTTATTATCTATATATTTATCTGGTTGTAGCTCAACTAGCCATGCTTCTCCTATTTGTACAGCTAGCCATGGTAGCAGCACAGAATCTCGGCTGTATAGGTAGCTCTTATCACCTCCTGCTGCTCCTGCTGCTGCTCCTGCTCCTGCTGCTGCTGCTGCTGCTCCTGCTGCTGCTGCTGCACCTGATCGGTTTGTAGACAAACGTCTTTTCTTACATTTTCTGTCTTCTTTATCCTTACGTACATCATTATAACCAGCAGCAGCAGCAGCAGCAGCAGCAGCAGCAGCAGCAGCAGCAGGTGCTGCTGGTGTTGCTGCTGCTGCTGCTGCTGCAGCAACAGCAGCAGGATTAGTATGCTTAAGATAAGATAATAATACAAGAATAGATTCAATCCTTGTCCAATCAAGAACAAATGCAGCAGAATCAGCAAGAGAAGAAAGTGTATATGTACGAGGAAAACATATACATATATTTACGTTTTCTGTACATGCATATAGCAGCAAAGTATTATTTAATCCGTTTTTTGTTGTTATACAATCATTACCTATAAAATGATTTATTTTTTGCTCTTTTTTTATGTTTTTTATTATTTTTTTTATCTTTTCTTCTTTTATTAACCATTTTAGGTCATAAAATGATGAATTTATATCCTTATTTCTTTGCCATCCTCTCCTCTGCAGCGCAGCAGCAACACATGATTCAACAGTAACTACTGCTGCTCCTGCTGCTCCTGCTGCTCCTGTTGTTGCTGCTCCTGTTTCTTCCCCTTTTTTTCCTCTATATTTTGATTGTTCTATACAATATACTCTGCATGCACGATCCAGCCCCATTCTCTCGCTAAAATGTTGCATGCATTCTGCATGCGTTTTATTTAATAAAGAATATCCTCTTAATCTACGACGCAGCCCCAATTCTGCATGCAGTAATTGCTGCTGATGGCTACGGCAGCAACGACCACGTAATGCATGCATCCCTGCAGATAATAACCGCCAATCATTGCTTAGGCCTGTACTGCTGCTGCTGCTGCTGCTGTTGCTGCTGTTGCTGCTGTTGTTGCTGTTTATTGTAGTTGTTGAGGTAGTTGTGCTGCTGATGCCTGCTGCAGGAAGTTCAGAGATACTCTCGTCCTGCTGCTTCTGCTGCTGCTGCTGCTGTTGCTGCTGCCGCTGCTGTTTAGCTGATTTAGGTGCAGCAGCAGCAGCAGCTGCATCAGCAGCAACTGTTTCTTCTTCTAGCTCAGTAACATCTGTTATAGATGAATGGCTGCTGCACTTGGATACTTCGTGGCTGCTGCTCCTGCTGCTACTCCTGCTGCTACTCCTGCTGCTGTCCATGCTGCTGCTCCTGCTAGTCCTGCAGCTCCTGCTGCTGCTCCTGCTGCTGGCGTTGCTGCTGCTGGCAGTGTTGCTGCTGCGGGAAATAGCAGCAGGAAGTCCAACAGACCTCTTAGTTATATTGCCGCTATTCTTGCTGCTGCTTCTGCTGCTGTCGCTGCTGCTGCTCTCGCTGCTCTCGCTGCTGCTGCTTCTGCTGCTGCTGCTGCTATTGCTGCTGCTGCTGCTGCTGCTGCTGTATCGTCGTCCACGATGTTTCTTCGTGCCTTCGCTGTACTCTGCTTGGAGTTGAGGAGACTTACATATATCTGCTGCTGCTGCTTCCTGCTGCTGCTGCTGCTGCTGCAGTAAATTGGAGGGGTAGCGCCTAGAGTTCAGCCACTGGGCCATCAGAAGGGCGACGTCGTCGCATGCAGCAGCTGCTGCTGTGTCTGCATGCACGGGGCTGAGTGCAGCAGCAACAGAAGTAGCAGCAGATATGCTTCTGCTGCTTTCCATAATGCTGCGGCTGCTGTTGCTGCCGCTGCAGCTGCTGCTACTGCTGCTGCTGTTGCTGCTGCTGCTGCTGCTCGGGCTGCTGCTGCTCGGGCTGCTGCTGCTGCACCGTGGTAAACGCTGGACTCCCCTTCGGGTACCCCTGTGAGCCCTGTGTCTGCGGGCCTCCCTTTCGCTGTTGCTGCTGCTATCGCTGCTACTGCTGCTGCTACTGCTGCTGCTGCTGCGCCTCCTGCTTCTGGATCGGCAGGTGGCTTGCTGCTGCTTAGGACCGGTTGGTTTGAGGCCCTTGTGGGCAGTTGCTGCTGCTGAGTTTACTGCTGCTGCGTTTGCTGTTGCTGCTTGTGCTGCTACTGCGTTTGCTGCTTCGGCATGTGCTGCAGCTGCCTGTGCTGCTGCATTTACTGCTGCTGCGTTTGTTTCTGCTGCTGCAGCTGCTGCTGCGTCTTGTATACCGTGGCTACTGCAGGCCACAATATGGGCTGCTCCTGCAGGTCCAGCAAGGGGCCGGTTGCTGCTGTTGTTGCTGCTGCTGAAGCTGAAGCTGTTACTGCTGCTGCTGCTGCTGCTAGGCATAATGCCTACGTAACTTTTGCTGTTGCTGCCTCGTCTGTCTCGAGGAGCAACAACCCATGTACGCGTTGCCTCAGCAGCCCCTGTCAGCCGCTGCTGCTGCAGCTGCTGCTGCTGCTGCTGCTCTTGCTGCTGTTTCTGTTGCTTCTGCTGCTCTTGCTGCTGATTCTGAAGTTTTTGCTGCTGCCGCTGTTGTTGCCGTTGCATCGTCTGCTGCTGCTTCTGCTGCTGCTTCTGCTGCTGCTGCTGCGTGTCTAACCTTTCTTCTTCCTCTGCTCCTCCCCACAAGGCGCTGCACCATCCCCTATGAAGTTCGAGTGTATCGGGAGGGCCCCCAAGGGGCCCCTGGGGGCCCCTTGCTGCGGCTAGTTTGCTGCTTTGGTGTCTCCATGCATCAGCAACTGCTGCTGCAGCACTAACAGCAGCTTCAAGCCCCGAAAGGAGACACGCGTTTTGCATGTGTCTCCTTAGCATGCGCTGCTCCCTCATTTGCATGCGTTTTATCTGTCGATACAGTCTGCTGCTGCTGCTGCTGCTGCTGCTGCTGCTGTAGATGGTAGGAGGCATCTCCGAGCTCCAGTATGCCTCAAGGAGGGCCTTCGTAACTGCTGCAGCAGTTGAAGGAAGCCTGCTGCTGCTGCTGATGCTGCTAATGCTGCTGCTGCTGCTGATGCTGCTGCTGCAGCTGTATACATCCCTTAGTTGTGGCGCAGCAGTACCTGTGTCTGTGCAAGGGGGGGCCCCCAGCAGCTCATCGTTGCCGTCCGTAAGGAGGAAGGAAGCTTGGGGGCCCCCTAGGGCCTTCATATGAGTGTGGGGCCCCTTTGCACCTCCTGCTGCTCCTGCTGATGCTCCTGCTGCTGCTGCTGCTGTGTCTGTACTGCTAAGAAGCGCATGCAGAGTGGGGGGAAGGGGGGGCTCCCTGCCAAGGAGAAGCTCGGCGTCGAAGGCCCTGTTGCGAGGCGAGAGGGTAGTCTTATCTCCTGTCTTCTTGCTGCTGCTGCTGCTGCTGCTGCTGCTGCAGCTGTTGCTGTTGCTGCTGTTGCTGTTACTGTTGTTGTTGTTGTTGTTGCTGCTGCTGCTGCTGCTGCAGCGCAGCAGAATACCCCCTACAGAGGTCTCCGATATCTCTGCTGCTAATAGATCAGCAGCAGCTAATGTTGAATCCCCTAAGCTTAATTCCTCCTTAGAGGGAGAAAGGGATAAACCTGTGCTGCTGCTGTTGTTGTTGTTGCTGCTGCTGCTGCTGTTGTTGTTGTTGTTGTCGTTGCAGCAGCAGCAATAGCTGTTGCTGCTGCTTCTGCATGCTCCACTGCAGCTCTTCGATTTGATGCATGCACTGCTGCTGCTGCTGCAGACTGCTGCACAGACACCAGGGGGCCCCAATGTAGTGTCTCCTCCCTTGCTGAGGGCCCCCCGTGCTGTCATATGACACTCTGCTGCTGCTGTTGCTGGTGCTGGTGCTGCTGTTTCTCCTGTTGCTGTTGCTGCTGTTGCTGTTGCTGCTGTTGCTGCTGTTGCTGCTGTTGCTGCTGCTGCAGGAGTCCCCATTCGGTCTGCTCTACAGGGACATGGAGGGGCCTCGCGGGCTGCAGCACATCACACAGCAGGGCAAGTGCCCTTTGCTGCTGCTGCTGCTGTTGCTGCTGCTGTTGCTGCTGCAGCTGCAGCTGCTGCATCGCAAGAGAAGGGGGAGGGGAAAGAGACTGCAGCGCCCTTCGTGCCCTCCGCACAGCTAAACCCTAAACCCTAAACCCTAAACCCTCACCCATGTTTACTTGTCCGTTTGCTTGAAGATCTCCAGAAACACTGTGCAGGTTTTGTTGGTCCAGCTGCTGCTGCTGCTGCTGCTGCTGTTGCTGTTGCTGCTGCTGCTCTTTCTGTTGCTGCTGCTCCAGCTGTCGCTGCTGCTCTAGCTGCAGTTGCTGTTGCGGCTGGTAGTGTTGTTGCGGCTCGTATTGCTGTTGCTGCTGTTGCTGCTGCTGTTGCTCCTGCAGCTGCTGTTGTTGTTGCTGCTGCTGCGTGAGGGAGACGAGAGAGTCTATGAGCTGCAGCGCATCAGCAAAAGAAATGTCTTTGTTGCTGCAGCCGTCGCGGCGCAGCGCAGGAGACGTACACAAGGGGGCCCCCTGAAGAGCCCCGAGGGGGGCCCCTAGGGGCCCCCCTGTTGCGTACTTGGGCCTGCTGTCGTCCTGGCGAGGAGTCTGCAGCAGCAGCTTCTCGCTATTGAAGCTGCTGCCAGCTGTATCTGCAGTAATACCAACACGAGCAACAGCAGCAGCAGCAACAACAGCAGCGGCAGCAGCAACAACAGCAGCGGCAGCAGCACAGCAGCAGCAGCAGCAGCAGCAGCATGACGTAGAAAGTCATGTTAGAGGGTGGGGGCCCCTTTCCGCTACTGCATGCGTTTATTTTGGGGCTTTCCCCCCTCTAGGCATTTTTTATGTTTTCTTCTTTTGTGCATGCATTTAGGTATATTGTGTATTTAGCGCCTGCTGCTGCTGCTGTTGCTGCTGCTGCTGCTGCATGCAAGGAGGACGTACCCGCAAGAGAATGCAGAGAAAGAGGGGAACTAAGTAGGGCCCCCTGTTGTCCCCCCTCTTGTATAGGCAAGTAATTATTAATAAAGCTTCCTTGAGCAGCAAGCGCAGCACTGCTGCTGCAGCTGCTGCCGCTGCGTTCCTCTTGCATGAACTGCATGCTACGCACATGCTGCAGCTGCTGCTGCAGCTGCTGCAGCTGCTGCGTCGCTGCATGCAGTCCTGAATGGGGCCTTGTTATAGGCTGTATAGCTACAGGAGAAAGTGCTGCTGATGTTTCGGTAAAAGACCGAAGCTGCTGCTGCTGCTGCTGCTGCTGATGGTCTTGCTGTTGGGGCTGCTGCTCTTGCTGCTGCTGCTGCTGCTGCTCTTGCGGCTGCTGCTGCTGCTGCTTGGGTTCTTTTATGCCCTCTGTTTTCTTGGAGAGTCTCCTTCTCGCCCTCTCTGCTGTATGCCCGTGTCCGTATGGCAGCGAGAAAGACCCCTGCTGCTGCTGCTGCTGCTGCTGCTGCTGCTGCTGCTTGCTGCGTTCGTGCTCCTCTTCTGCTGCTCTAGAGTAAACACTTCGAGCAACAAATGCTGCTTCCTGCTGCAGCGGCAGCTGCAAAGAGGAGGTGCTCCATGCCCAGGCATCTTTGCTGCCTCCTCCTGCTGCTGCTGCTGCTGCTGCTAAAGTTGAGGCGAGGGGGCCCCCTGTTAGGTACCCCTTGGACTTCCTGATGTCTGCAGCACGGGCATATGTCAGCTGCTGCTGCTGCTGCTGCTGCTGCGCCTTTGTCTGCATGTTACGGGAAGATTTGCGCTGCTGCTGTTGCTGCTGCTGTTGCTGCTGTTGCTGCTGCTGCTGGTGCTGCTGCTGCTGCTGCTGCTGGGTGGTTGTCTGGTTCCACATAGAAAGAACCTCTTGATGAATACAAGACAGCTGCAGCCGTACATCATGCATAGACTGTCTGTGTTTGCTGCTGCTGTTGCTGTAGTTGCTGCAGTTGCTGCAGTTGCTGCTGCTGCTGCAGCACCAGTCTTCCTTAAGACTCCCCTCCTCCTCTAATGAACAAAGGTACCCTTCACAGTTGTTATCGATCTCCTCTTCAGGGGGCCGCCCCAAAAGGGGGCCCCCCATCATGGGGCCCCCCAGATGAGGGCCCCCCTCCAGCTCGCTGGGGGCCCCGTCAGAACCTGCAGCAGGCTCTGTTGCTGCACCAGCACAACCAGCAGCATGCTCTGCAGCAGCAGCACCAGCAGCATGATCAGCAGCAGCAGCAGCAGCATCCTCTGCTGCAGCAGCAGGGCTAAGTGCAGGGCTTTCTGCAGAGTCTGCTGATACTGCAGGAGAGTGATCCTCCGGGCGGCAATACCTCTGCTGCTGCTGCTGTTGCTGCAGTTGCTGCTCCTGCTGCTGTTGCTGCTGCTGCTGCTGGACTTGCCGCTGCTGCTGCAGTTGCTGCTGCTGCACCTCCTGCTGCTGCTGCACTGCCTCGACAGCCTTTGGTTCTCCTGCAGGAGATGCAGCGGGGCTGGCCTCACTGCCTGCACTAGGGCATCGCGAAGCAGAGCTAATATTGCTGCTGTTGCTGCTGCTGCTGCTGCTGCTGCTTCTGCTGCTTCTACTGCTGCTGCTAGCGTTGCTGCTGCTGCTGCTGCATAGGAGCTTCTCCAGGGCGTTGTGTTCATTCCCAGACGATAGCTCAGAAATGAGAGATAAATCCTCGTGCTGGTGCTGGTGCTGCTGCTGCTGCTGTTGCTGCTGTTGCTGCTGTTGCTGCTGCTGCTGCTGCTGCGAGTGTCCCTGGGGCAGACAATTTGATTCTTTCTCCTGGAAAGACTCATCTAGCGATCTCGTGTCTTTGCGTTCAACGGAGTTGCATACCACCTGCTGCTGCTGCTGCTGCTGTTGCTGCTGCTCCTGTTGCTGCTGCAGCGGCTGTTGTTGCTGCTGCTGCTGTTGGAGGGGCCCACCTAGAGCCCATTGGTCGACGGTTTCTCGTGTAGATCCAAGGGTAGCCATGCGTATAAGGGGTACCTTAACCTTTTGCTGCTGCTGGTGCTGCTGCTGGTGCGCTTGTTGCTGCTGCAGCAGCTGCTGTTGCTGTTGCTGCTGCTGCTGTTGCTGCTGTATCTGTGTGGGGTGTTGGGGGCAGAGGGATCTACTCGGTCTTTTATTTGCTGCTGATTGCTGCCTACAAACCAAGGGTTTAGTATACTGTGCAGC